AAACAAAAGAGGAAGAGAAGTTGAAGAGAAGAAACAAGGAGAGTTGTTTTCATCTCTTGGCTATTGCAATTGTTGCTACTATAAACATCAATGTGCAAATATCTTAAGAGCTTTTTCCAATCTCTTGGTTTATTCCCAGAAAGTGATTACTGGATCATATGGTAGCTCTATCTGTAGTATTTTGAGGAAATTCCAACTGTTTTCCACAGCTGCCCTATTTTACATTTCTGCTCTTTGGAGTGAAAAAGCAACTTCTCTCCAGCGGTTCTTTTTTATTTTTATTTTGTTTTTTGTTTTGTTGATAGTTGTCATCCTAACAGGTGTCATGTAGTTTTGACACATATGTAATAAAGAAAATATGCTTTCTGCATAGAATGGAATATTATTCAACCTTATAAAGGAAGGAACTCCTGCCTCATGTTACAACATGGACACACCTGGAAGACATAATGTTCAGTGAAACAAAGGACAAATGATTCAGGATTCCACTTGGTTGAGGTATCTAAAATGGTAAGACTCGTAAATAGAAGACTACAATAGTGGTGTCCAGGGCTGGGGTGGGGTTTGAGGATATGGGGAATTGTTATTCAATGCCTGTGTCGCTTCTGTGGTATAAGATCATGCCTGCAGCAGACAATTCAGTATTGCCCACCTCAAAATTTAAGAGGCTGGATCCTATGTTAGATGTTCTTACACAAAATAATAAAAAACAAGGGCACAAGGAAATATTTGGAGCTGACACATTTATTATCTTGAATTGCTTTGCATCCCAGGTATTTACATAAGTTAAAACTTGTCAAATTGCACAGAAATGGAGGGACAAAGGGCAAACAGATGCAGCAGTGGTACTCACTAGATATTATGTTGAAAATGAGCTATATAACTTGTGGGTGGGATTGGGAAGAAAAACTAGAAGAGAGAGGATGAGAGGAGGGACAATACTGTCTAAAAAGAAATGTAGTCAATACCTGACTTGCATAACTGTAACCCCTCTGTACATCACCTTTATCATAGCAATAAAAATCAAAATGTAAAAAAGACAAAAAAACTTGTCAAATTGGCTTCAGTAAATATAGCAGGTTTATGTATATCAATGATACATCAATAATGTGCCGGGGCAGAGAGAAAGAGAGAGGAAGAGAGAGAGAGAGAGAGACAGAGACAGAGAGTCAGAGACTGAGATAGAGAGATAGAGAGATCGATCTCCCAACCCCAGACTGAAGTTCTGAGTGTGAGTAGGGTCCAAAGAGCAGAGTGAAAGGAAATCCCTCTTCTATCAGATTGGGACTGACCAAAGATTATGCTTCTCCTACTTCCTGGCTCAGACGTTTTAAATTCCCACTCAACCAGCTGTTTTTATTTTTAAAAATTACTTGATTGTTATTATAGAGGTGAGGTACAGAGGGGATACATTACATGAGTCAGGTAATAAGTCCATTTCCTTTCATACAGTGTCATCTGTCCCCTCATTCTCTCCTTTTCCCTCCCTCCCATCTCCACCCACGAGTGGACTTTCATCAATGTGCAGAGCGCTCCACTGTTGCACTTTTCACCCTTTTCCCTCAGATTCTGGGGGCTCCACTCCCCATACACATGAATACACTGTATATGAAGTAAAGACTACAGAATCATAAGAAAAAAACAAATTAAAGTCTTTCATTTCTATATATTAGGAGTTCATTTCAGTCTATATTCTATCTTATATAAATATGGAGAGGCGCTTAGGCATTCCACCGTTGTGGTTCTGTCCTGAGACAGTCCGCTTTGGGGCTCACTGTATGTGAGTGTCTAGAATCCCATGTAATTTGTCATATCCAAGTACACTTTAGATCTAACTTCTGCATATCAGAGAGAACATGTGCCATTTGTTTCTGATCTTGGCTTATCTCACTTCACATGATTTGTTTTAGGTCCATCTATTTCTCTGCAAATGACATTATTTTATTCTTTCTAATGGCTGTGTAAAATTCCATTGTATATGGGTACCATAGTTTTTGGATCCACTCATCTATTGTGGGGCATCTGGGCTGTTTCTGTATCTTGTCTATGGTGAATAGTGAGGCAATGAACATAGATGTGCAGGTGTCTTTATTATACCCTGGTTTATGATGTTCATGGTAGATGCCCAGGAGTGGTATGGCTGGGTTGTGGGGAAGCTCAACCAGCTATATTTTTAAATATATGTGTTTTGTTGTAAAGATACTGTACAGAGGGGTTAACAATTACATGAGTAACATCATGAGTCCATTTCCTATGGAGCATTGTTACTCACTCCTTTGTTTTTCCCCTACCATCCCTTCCCTCCCCTACTCCTCCCTCCCCCCACCAAGCTGTAAAGTTCGTTTTCAACACAGTGTCTTGTATATCTCATTGTTACAATGGGTCAACCTGTATCCTTGTTTCAGTATTTTGTTATTTCCCTTCCCCTCCCCAAATTAGAAAAATGTATATTCAAGAAGCAGGGCACCAGAACCAAATACAGTGAAAACAGGGGTTACATCATGGGGGAAGAACATTCAACCAGCTATTTTTAAAAAAAGAGCATCATAAGAGAATCATGAATTATGAAGGCTGACTAGGCCTATTTTCAATATGAAAAGGGAATTGTGGTTTTCTTTTAAACATTAGTTCTTGGTATTTATTTATTTATTTAGTGAGGATACTTGGGGCTTGAACTCAGGGCCTGGGCACTGTCCCTTAGCTTTTGTGCTCCAGGCTGGTACTCTGTCACTTGAACCACAGTCCCACTTCTGCCTTTTTGTGGGTAATTGAAAATAAGAGTCTCATGGAGCTGCCCAGGCAGCTTTGAACTAAGATTCTCAGATATCAGCCTCCTGAGTAGATGGGATTACAGGCACCAGCATCTGGCTAGCTCTTTGATTTATAGAACCAAAACATTTATAGATGAAATGATATATCTGAAATTTATTGATGGAGAAAGTGAGAGTTGCTTTTTTTTTCCCCTAGGGATTAGGGATCAATTTGCTAAACAAACCCTTCTGTGTTCCTTAATGGAAGTCCTGTTGGCTAACATCCCCTGCCAATCATAGGCTGTCATGTATGTCTCATTACTCTCAAGAGTGACCAGTCTGCACCTACACATTCACACCCACACAGAAGACGTTGATGTTCAACCTGGAAATTCCAGACGAGAAAGAGGCCTTCCCATCGCTAAGCTTGAGGCATAGTGCTTTGTCAATCACCATGGGCTGAAGGCTCATGGGGCAAATCCTTTGAGGCAAGCTTTGTCTGGGGCTGCTGCCTGGATACAAATTGAATGTGGTGCCCAAAGCTTTGTGAGCTGGAATCTGGTGCTTCTGTGATGACATTGAGATAGTTTCTACCTTTAAGAGGGGGAGCTACTCAGAAACTGAGATCTGAGGATCAGGGTTTAAACCAGCCCAAGTAGATAGGTCCAAAAAGCTGAAAACAGATCTGTGGTCAAGCGGTAGAGCACCAGCCTTGCAAGAAAAAAGCTATGGGAAAGCACTCAGGCCCTGAGTACAAGCCTCAATACCAGTGAGCACATGTGCACGCGTACACACACACACACACACACACACACACACACACACACAGAGAAGGAGCCTCGTAGAAGGAAATCAGGCTATCAGAACATACCCATGGAAGGGATTAATGGCAATCTTTCAGGAACTTCCTAGAGTAGGTTGTCATAAGCAGGACTGACACGTCCGTCCCCTGAATCACTTGTTTACTTCCTGCTCAACAAGTGACCTCTCCCTCTTTCATGTGACCCACCACAGAGCCATTCACTGTGTTATCAGGATCCAGAGGTCCTCACCAGAGCCCACACAAAGCTGTAAGCTTTAAAACTGTGAGCTAAACAAACCTCTTTATGTTACTTAGTTTCAGAGGTTTTAGTATGGGCTAGACAGGCATTTAAGACTTTCCTAACAATTTTCTCCTCCTCATTCCTTTCTCTTCACTCTTCTTCTTTTCCTCCTCTCCCCCCTCCCCACTCTCCCTCCTCCTCCTCCTCCTCTTCCTCTGCTTCTTCTTCTTCTTGACAGGGTCTCATTGTGTAACACATATTGGCCTCCAACTTGCAATTCTACTGCCCCTTCAGAATTCCGGGACTTATAGCAGCTCCTAATCTATGAACACTGACCTGACCCTGGAGTTCTACAAGTGGCCCACTCTTCTCTAAGCCAAAGGCCTAGGAGTCTACTGAAGAGTCTCTGCTCATTTGACCTGGCAGTGCAAGAATTCCTGTTGAAGTCCAGGTAAATGGGGCCTCTCGGCAAAAATTACCCAACCCACTGATGGCCCCATTGCTACATCAATGGTAGGCAGGGGCCCAGAAGGAGCAGAAACTCAAACACAGGGAAGGTTAAGTGTGGGGACGAGCTTTATTAAGGTGGTCACCTTCATGTTTCCAATGTTCATAAGAACTTGTACAATAGGCCAGTTTTAAACCACAGGCTCTTCTGTTACAGTACCATCTACATCCAGAAAGCAGTAAAGATACATTGTACAATGAATATGTTCCACCTTAAAAGTTTTGTTGATAGACAATGCAGAAACAATATTTACAGACCCTTTGTAAGTTGAAATTTTAGATACTCAAGATTTACTCATAAAACTAACATTTATGTAGGATTTTTTTTCTTCAGGTAAGAAAGGCCAGTCATTATAAAAATACTTTGTATAAATTCAGAGTCAGAACTAAAACATTTAATCCTATTAAAATACCTTTTACTATAAAAAAGTACTGATTTCTAAATCAATTGCTCTTTTTTTTTTGTGATGGAACTGGGGCTTGCACTAAGGGCCGAATATTGTCCCTTAGCTTCTTTGCTCAAGGCTGGTACTTTACCACTTGAGCCATAGCTCCACTTCTGGCTTGCTGCTAGTTAGTCAGAGATGAGAGTTTCACAGACTTTGCTGCCCAGGATGGCTTTGAACCATGATCATCAGATCTCAGCCTCCTGAGTAGTAAGGATTACAGGCATAAGCCACCAGGCTCAGCTTAATAAATTGCTTTTCACAATATTTATCAATATTCAAGGAACACCCATTTACATATGTGGATGAGGCCATCCACATACAAGGGATTTGTTAAAGGAACCTCTGGGCTTAGTCACCATCAGGAATTTGATTTTAGAGATGGTCCATGTGTTCAACTATGTTTCATGTGAACGATGCAAAGTATTCTATGAAAAGTGAACTTAAATGTCTATCTATGACCATCATTTATGAAGACAAACTCTCTGGCTTAGACAGAGAATTGTCTCCATGGGAAATCACGTTTGTTTAGGATTCAGCTACATTTTACCTTGAACTGTTTAACTTGGGAAACTTGTGATGGCATTTTGGCCACTATCTGAAATCAGCTCATTCATTTCATTCTGCTTACTCTCTTTGAGAGCATGGTTGGGGTGAGTTTTCTGTGTCTGGACTCTTTTGGATCTTCTAAAGCAGACTTTCAGTAGCAGATAACACAACTCGGCCACATTGAGCAACATGCAAATCACAGATGCAGAAATCATAAAAATGGTGAAGACAGTTTTCTCAGTTGGCCTGGAAATGAAGCAGTCAACAAGATTGGGGCAGGGATCAATGCCACATTTCAGCACCCAGGGCAGGTGGTACCCATTGTAGAGAAAGTAAAACACATACATAAAAGCAGCTTCAAAGATGATTCGGAAAAAGATGCTGCTGGTGTAAGTCCACCACAGTGATCCCTCGATCCGCACTTTTTGTCTTTTAATATCCTCTAAGTCTTTGAATTCATCCCTCTTCTCTCCACGCCTGAACTTGCGAGCAGTTTCTTGTCTGTGGTAGGCCACGTGCATGGCCACTAGCAGTGCAGGAGTGGACACAAAGATTAGTTGTAAAGCCCAGAGCCGGATGTGGGACACTGGGAAGAAATGGTCATAGCACACGTTCTTACATCCTGGCTGCAGTGTGTTGCAGACAAAGTCCTCCTGCTCATCACCCCACACTTCCTGGGCAGCCACCACAAGGATCATAACTCGGAAAATAAAGATGACAGTGATCCATACCTTGCCGATGCTGGTGGAGTGCTTGTTCACACCCCCAATGAAAGTGTGCAGCGTCCCCCAGTCCATGGTGCCAGCTTATTCCTAGGCAATAGGGACAAAGAAATCAGTGGAGTCTCTGAATTGGTGAGACAATGCTACAATGAACTATACATTACAGGTACAGATGAGTAAATTGTGACATAACTTCCACCCCTAGTCTATGAGTAGGAGTTTTTCTACCAGGAAAGCCTGTTCCAAATATATTCTGTTGCTTAGAGGGGAGGCAGATTCCATATTAGGTTGCTAATCACCATCAACAGAAATACAGGTAAACAAATCTGTGTTGAAGTTCCCTTTCAGTCCCGCTGTGTAAGCTTGGCTTTTACAGAAATCATATAATCCTAGTTGGTGTAATCCTAGTCAGGAGGCTGAGATCTGAGCATCTCAGTTTGAGACCAGTTTGGGCAGAATAGTCTGTGAGACTCATCTCCAATTAACCAGGAGAAAGCTTGAAGTGGAGCTATGACTCAAGTGGTAGAGTACCAGCCTTGAGTGGAAAAGCCAAGGTACAGCTAGCTCCCAGGCCCTGAGTTCAAGTCCTAGGACCAGCACAAAATACAAACCAACCAACAAGAAAGCAAGGACTCACAGAACTTTCAAACAGTAGATCTTATTCACTGAATGGCTTATCCAAGAAAAGATTTAGTGGGATGGTATAACTGGTTTTACTCAGTAGAAATGGGAAGAAATAAAATAATTCTTTCCTTACTTTATACACGATACACATGCTTATTTCTCTTTATTTTATTTCTTTAAAAAATTATATGTAGCTGTAGTTCCAGTTCAACATTCTAGTTTATGAATACAATGCACCTTAATCAATGTTCCCCTCAAGTTACCGGATTCCATTCTCACATAAACACATTGCATATTATGACTGTACTCTCCCATCCTTTCTCTCTCCATTTATCTACCCACCTCTCTTTGACCTCACCTCCAGCTTCCTGGTCTTCATTTATTAAACTGTAAGCTAGTTGTTTACTCATACTTATTTCTAGCTTGAATTATACCATTGTCTGGAATCATGTGTTATTAGAAAAGCTCATATTGTGAGCTGTTTTCTTCAGAAAGAGAATCACAAGGTTTTATACAAATTATTTCCTTGTTCTCCAATTTAAGCAGGCCCTAGATGGCTTTCCATCAAAATTTGGATCCCTTTTACAGCAGGAGCCATTGCTAATGGGGAGCAGCTGCCGCCAAGCCCCCAGTTACCCTCTCTGCTAAGGACGGATTTAGCATCTCTAAAGGGAAAGGATTTCCATACATCTCTGGAAACTTTTGCTGCAATCCAAACTGTTTGTTTTCTTGTCCTACAAAAAGATTAGTCTTTAGTTAAGAAGACGAAACACTTACTAGATGCTAGTAGCTACTGTTATCATAGATTGAGATGTGAGGATCATGGTTCACAGCTAGCCTGGGCAAAAAAAGCCCATGAGACTTTTTATCTCCAATTCACTAGCAGAACCAACAACAAATTAACCAGAAATGGAGCTATGATTTGAGTGGTAGAGTGTTAGGTGAAGGGAAAAAGCCTAGTGAGCTCAAGAGGCGGGCTACAAGGAATAAGCAAACAAACAACCTTGGTCAACATTCATACACTGAATTTATCAGCCTAGACTTTAGGAAAGCATATTAATTGATTAAATTAAAAAAGAAAAGAGAAACTAAATTTTGTAGCTGAAGCAAAGCAACAAGCTGAGGCAAGCAACAAGGGTTTATTAACGAACTTGTTCATTGTTACCAGGGCAGGTAAAGACTGGAGAGGCTTCAGGTAGCTTGAGGAATGAGGTTAAAAGCCATAAAAAAGTGGGAGATGATTCAGATCCTCACACCAATGGAGTGGCCCAAGCTTGTAACAAGATCAAGAATTTAAAACAGAATACAAGCTGCACCTTACAAAACCAAAATCAATATAAAAAGGTAAAAATCTCAGGATGTGAAAAATAAAGAAAACTAAGATACCTGAGCCCAGCTGAGTGCTGGTGGCTCACGCCTGTAATCTTAGCTACGCAGGAGTCTGAGATCTGAGGAATCAAGTTCAAAGCCAGGTCAAGCAGAAAAGTCTCTAAAACTCTTATCTCTAATTAGCCGCTAAAACACTAGAAGTGGAGCTGTGGCTTTTGTGCTAGAGCATAAGCTTTGAATGAAAAGCTAAGGAAAAGTGCCCAGGTCCTGAGTTCAAGCCTGGCACTGGCGGTTGTATACCTCAAAAGAGTATGAAACATTCTCTTTTATATGCCTCTTATTACATGGGCAAAAGAAGCTTTCAGTATCCACACTAAATAACCCTTTGATGTTAAAAGATTAATCCTAATTAATAAGAATTATCCAATTAATTTTTAGTCTCTGCTGAAAGACATTATAATGCATTGTGCTTTGCTGTTCTGTCCTAGAGTCATTTTAGAATGTTATCAGTGGGGAAAGAGGAGTTTAACCACCTTGAACTTTAGACCTAGTTTACAGTAGCTGTTCCCTTATGGGATCAGCCTGTGTGTTTATAAATTGATGTCTTCTCATTAGCCAATAAACATAAACATATCCTATAATGTACCTAATCAGTCAGGCATTTTTGTTTTGTTTTGTTTTGTGTGCCAGTACTGGGGTTTGAACTCAGTGCCTGGACACTGTCCCTTAGCTTTTTTGCTTCAAGGCTCCTTGAGCCACAGCTCCTCCTCTTCTGGCTTATTAGAGATGAGAGATTCACAGACTTTCTTGCCCTGGCTTCCCATTGAGATCCTTGGATCTCAGTGTCTTGTATCGCTAAGAATACAGATGTGAGTCACTAGTCCCTGACCTGCTTTTTCTGTGCTTTTTTTTTGTATTAAAAATATGTAGTTTTACAAGAGTTTCAGCTCAACATATCAATTTATGAGGACAATGCATCTTGATTAATGTCATCCCTTTCATCAGTATCCCTTCATTTTTTAAAGAAAAAAAAGGGTTATCCAAGTCATCAAGAAAAATGAGGTTAAACCCCAATACAGACATATTTAGCCCACTAGTCACTGAAGACAATCAGGCAAGAAGCAAGTCACCTGATTCAAAGGATCTTCTTGCAAGAGCAACAAAGGCCCTGTTATTTATTGTAGAAGAAAAGATCCAAAAGGACTAGTGTTTTCTGCTCTTTGTAATTTACCCTGGCTGGGTTCAGCAAAGCAAGTGCTTTCAGTGAGGAGGAGGCAAATTTCCTAGCAGTAAAAAATGCCTTTTGAAATTCTTTTGTTTTGATCTCATTGTTCCTGAGGGGCTCATAACAAATCCTCCCGGGTACCTGTCCTGCATAGCATTCTCTACAGGCCAAGAGTGAGGAAGGGTCACTCATAAGCATTAGGAGACAGCCCAAGATGGTGGTCCTTGTTGGGTTTACTGAGCCCTAAATTTGCTCACACAGGTCTGCAGTCACTGGGAAAGTCTGGAGGACTTCTGGAGACTTCTGCCACAAGGGAGCTATGTGAGATAAAGTGACAGACAGCTGACGGTATAGCCAGGTCAGCACTGAGCTCTTTCTGCCCTATTCTGTCAGTGGGTCCAGGTACCCAGGCCAGAGGGCATGCAAGGAGTGGGGACACAGCATCCCAGGTTTTAGACTACCCTTGTGGAAATGTATGACCTGCTGGATGCCAGTGGGTCATAACTATAATCCTAACTACTCAGCAGGCTGAGATCTGAGGACCCAGGTTTGAAGCCAGCCCGGGCAAGAAAGTCTGTGAGACTGTTATTTTCAACTAACCAGCAAAAAGCCAGAAATGGAGATATGACTCAAGTGGCAGAGCACCAGCTTTGAGCAAAAAAGCCAAGTAAGAGTGTGAGGTCCTGAGTTCAAGCCCTACATACTGACACAAAAGAAAAAATAAAGAAGAAACGCATGATCAGGATGTAATTTTCATTAGTACTTTGATTAAAGAGCGGAAAACCCAACACTTGTTTGGAAATTGTCAATAATTTAGAATTAATTTGTAAAATTACTGCATCCATTGGAACCCTTTGTAATCTTAGTAAAGCAAATCCTTCTTTCCTGTTTCAGCTGGCCCAAAGCTGATGGGAGGAGCTTCTTCAAACATAAACACACATTTAGTTCTCTGTAAAGCAGAATTTTGTTTTAACTTCTCTGATTCTCACAAGGAACAAGTAGACATCCTTAGCCCTTTGTGCTCCTCCATAGCTCAGTTGATAGAATGGAGGATTGTAGGGAGCTGTCACCTTCTAAGAATGCAGTTACGTTTAAACTTAGGAAGGTAAAATGGACCTGGTGTAGTGATACATCTAATTATAGTGTCCAACTCCACTCTCATTCTTGAAACTAAAACTCCAGTCCTAAATATTTAGCTCCAAAAGTTAGTGCCTACAGTGACATTACTTCTGATGAAACACATAGTAGTTTAAACATTAATAATTCTTTCACAATTCAAATCACTTAGGTCTATTGACGTTCTAACAGCAGTGCCATCTCCCTTGATCATTTTATTTATTTTTCATTTACTTGTTTGTGTGTGTGTGTGTGTGTGTGTGAGTGTGTGTCTATCTATCTATCATGCTGGAACTGGGGTTTAAACTCAGGGCCTTTTATTCTTGTTTAACTTTTTAGCTAAAGGCTTGTACTCCACCACTTGAGCCACACCTTCACTTCTGACTTTTGCTGTTTAGTTGGAGAAAACAGTCTCTCAGACTTGTCTTCCTGGGCTGGCTTTGAATGTCAATTGTCAGATCTCAGTCTTCTGAGTAGCTAGGATTACAGACATGAGCCACTGGTGTCCAGCTCTTAATTGTTACCCTTCCTCCCCTTTTTGTAAGGAATTTAATCATAGCTGCTTAGACATGCCATTTTAGACAGAACCCAAGCTAAAGCCCTAAACACGAGAGCATTATCCATCAGCATGCAACAAGAAGTGGGAAAGATCTTTCTTTTTGTAAGATAGCTTGGAAAAAAATCATTTTGCAAATATCTGCTAGATCTGAGAGGAGAACACACTCTTCACAAGGTCCATGTGAGTTCTACGGAACTTCAGATAAAAGGAAAACAAGGACTGGGCAAAGCT